GTGCGGATGCAAGTTTTGGAGCTCTGAGACTCCTGACTGAATCTGGTACTGGTATCGCGACATAAGCTGACAAAGGGTCTTCAGCATGCATGCTGACATTGCTGTAAGTGGATCCTGTCCAGCTGTATACGTAGGAGTATACATTCAGCGAACACCGACCGGCTTCCGAAGGGCAGCCGTCAAATCCAAAGCTACTGTCCGGTATGTCCAGTCATGAAGTGTTGCACTTGTAATAAGCAAGGCTCGTGCAAGAGATGTATCTGCTCCACGGAGGGTCGAGAATGCTCGAACTGCCAGCCTGGCAGCTTTGGCAGGTGCAGTAATCAGATCGCACTTCGAGTCGCTGCTTCACAGCCAGAGCTGACGAATACCAGCAAGCCAACAACGTCCCACCAGCTCCCAATCCCATCGTCGAGCATTGTACAGATCGATGTTCAACCGCCCCTCAGACAGTCCAACCGTCACCTGAGCGTACCGTACTGCCGCCAAGTGCTAGTGCGGACTCGCTACAAACTGCCACTGGTTCCTCTAGCTCTAGCTCTGTGCGACCAGCACGTGCACCCCCGTCCAGCAGAAGTTGTACCAGCGGCACAGGTACGCGCAGGTCAGATTTGAATGCGGGTGATGTAGAAGCCAGTGTTGATGCACTGTTGGAGGCGTGCAGGGGGTAAGCAGCCATAATACGCCATCAGTTACTGAGTCAGCTGTTATTACCACGGCCGACCCTGCGCGCACAGGAGCAAAGGATCATCATAATAGTGGCCCTGCTGACCCGCGTACACCGTACAGCCCAGTGTCCAGCTGCCAACAGCTGACGTGGGATATTCTGGATGTTGAAGTCGACACACCCACACCTACATGTAGTCTACCACCGTTTACAGCAGCGGAAGGGTCGTTGACCCTTGGGAGACTCGACGCCACAGACACCCGTCAAGTGGTAGCGGCCGCCTATGAGGAGACCGTCCACTTCGCAGCAAACCTGTTCGATGTGCCACTCGGCACAATTGGATCGAAATTTGTTAACCTATTAACATCGCTGTACAAGAGTTTTGGTGAACGCGGTGCCGCGGAAGGAATTGCCATCAAAGCAGCCTTGGTGGCCACCCAACTTCTGCTCCAGCGGCCGCACAGGTGTTCGGACCAGGGCGAACACCGGAGGCTCCTGCAGAATCGCTTGGTCCTGTGGGAAGACAGAGACCTGAACCAACTAGTCCTGGAAGCTCGCACGATCCAAGACCAGATCAGAGCAGCTTCCAAGCACTCCAGCAAACAGCCCAAGCACCAGGATAGCGCCAGGCACTTTGCCAACCTTGTCACCTCTGGAAACCTGAGTGCGGCCGCGCACACCCTCTCAGCTGACCACTGCCACGGTGTGCACAGCCTCGACTCAATGGTAGGAACAGAGACTGTCCGGGACATCCTGAAGGCAAAGCACCCTCACGCCGGACCCATCAGTGCAACAGCAGTGACATTAGGTACACCTCCAGACGCCCCGCACCCCGTGCGCTTCGCTTCCATCAAACAGAGATGCAATAAGGAAGGCAGCCCTCCACACTCAGGGCTCAGCAGGGCCATCTGGCATGGATGCAGGCGGATGGAGACGGATTTGCACCTCTTTCAGCAAATCGTCTGATGCTCTTTGCGATGCACTTGCCTCCACAGCCCGACGGACCGCTTCGTCACACGTAGACCCCGGAGCACTCGGGGCCTATGTTGCCTGTCGACTGATCGCATTGGATAAGCAGCCTGGAGTCCGACCTATTGGTGTTGGAGAGATTGTACGCCGCATCATCGGAAAGGCCATCCTCTCCGCAGTTGGTGAGGCCATTGAGAATGCCGTGGGATGTCTCCAGCTGTGTGGAGGGCAAGCGTCAGGCATAGAGGCTGCCATCCACGCCATGCGAACTGCCTACGACCAGAACAATGTGGAGGGAGTCCTGTTTGCAGACGCATCCAATGCGTTTAACTCGCTCAACAGACAGGTATGCCTCCAGAATATCCGTCATCTCTGTCCGGAAATCGCGCCGGCTCTCATCAACACGTATCGCTCACCGGTGGCTCTCTACGTGGATGGCGAGGCCATCATGTCAGTTGAAGGTACCACCCAGGGCAACCCATTGGCCATGGCAATGTACGCGTTGGGCACCATCCCGCTGATCCGAGTCACTGCCGAGAGTGACGCCCTGCAAAGCTGGTATGCTGATGATGCCAACACAGCAGGGAAGATCCCCCGCCTCCGAGCCTGGTGGGACATCATCGAGCGGAGAGGTCCAGAGTTTGGCTATCACCTTAATAACGCAGCCAAGTCGGTTCTTCTTGTTAAGCCCGAATGCGCTGAAGCTGCAAGGGCAATCTTTGCCGACACCGATATCGTCATCAAGACGGACGGCAACCGACACCTTGGAGCCGCCCTTGGATCACCCGAGTATAGGGCCTCCTTTGCTTTGGCGAAGGCATGGCAAGAGGAGATCCGTGAGTTGTTCACCGTGGCCTCCACCCAGCCACAAGCAGCTTATGCAGTGTACACCAACGTTCTCCGGCACAAGTGGTCATTCATCGCCCGCACAATGCCAGGCGTTGCCCTGCACCTCGAGCAGCTGGAGTCCACCATCTCCGAGTCGTTTATTCCCGCTCTTCTTGGTCGTCCCCAGCCCGGAGAGACGGAACGCCAAGTTCTCGCGCTCCCAAGCCGCTACGGAGGCATGGGGATTGTCTCCCCAGTATCCCTTGTGAACCAGTTTCCTTCCTCCCTTACCATCACCGAGAGCTTAGTTCAGCGCATTTTGAGCCAGGATACACTGCCACAGGAGGCGGACAATACCAGGGCAGCCAAAGCTAAAGCCAGGGCAGACGCCAGAAAGACGGAGCAGCGTCATGCCAAGGAGGTGTACGATGGCGTAGATGGAGACCTGCAGAGGTCCATGGATCTTGCGGCTGAAAAGGGTGCGTCGAACTGGCTCACCTGTCGACCACTCAAGCATCATGGGTTCTCGCTACACAAGGGCGCGTTTCGAGATGCTGGCTGCCTCCGCTACGGGTGGACTCCGCCCCACCTCCCCCAGAGCTATGCCTGTGGAGCTGCCTTCACTGTCCCGCACGCCTTGTCTTGCCCAGTAGGTGGCTATCCGTCTCTGCGGCACAACGAGCTGCGGGACTTGACCGCTACCATGCTCACATCAGCAGCTCATGATAACAGCATTGAGCCACGCCTCCAGCTGTTATCTGGTGAGAATTTTCATCACCGGACGGCTATCCGTGAGGATGGTGCCAGGCTGGATGTTGCTGCCAGCGGGGTATGGGGTGGCCGGTTTGAGCGAGCTTTCTTTGATATTCGGGTGTTCAACCCTCATGCTCGCTCGAACTCGGTCCACTCCATCCCCGCCGCATACGCAAAACATGAGCGTGAGAAGCGCCGGCATTATGAGGAGCGTGTTCGCGAGGTGGAGCATGCCACCTTCGTTCCCCTCGTATTCAGTGCCACCGGAGGCCAAGGCAAGGCGGCAACTGCCCTTTACAAGCGGCTCGGACTAATCATCAGCGACAAGAAGAATGAGCCTTACTCCATCACAATGGCATGGATCAGATGCAGGTTGGGGTTCGCCCTTCTTCGCTCGGCCATTATGGCCCTCCGAGGACACCGGTCCCGGAGCAGAGTTGCAGTAGGTCAACCATCATCGACCGAACTGGTAGCTGCTGAGTGCAATTTGCATTTCTGAACTGTGGCATGTGCGTAGCACTCAAACAAACATGTACGCACTGCACTGACTGTCTTTAAAGCTATGTAATTGTTCTTATCAAGTCTTGCTCTAAAAAAAAACCCCACGGTACTGGAACTGTAGTACAGTAAATAGTGGATATAACGTGCCCCTTTGATTTTCGATAATTTATCACTATATCCGGTGCATCACTATAGCCGATTTGCATGTATGACTGACACATGGCACATGACTGTGCATGAAATGATGCGTACACGCTGGAAAAAGCATGAAAAGCAGCCACGTGTACATGTGGCTGCTTACAGCATACAGGGAAGAATTTTCTCTCAATCACGTCTGCTGCCAGATGCATCCAGGCAACACTGGATCGGTTTTGGAAGAAGTGAACTGTATTGGAAGAACACTTGTTTTCGGTGATCATCACTCTTGATCAGTATATGCGATATTTTCCTGTGCATTTGATATGGTTTGCTTCCTGAAGCCCATCACAATAAGCGATATATCAGTATAGCCGGTAATAGTGTGTATAGTGATATTTTAGCTGTATTATTTTGTGATTTGATTTTGATTTTGGCGAGTTCTATCATTATAGCCGGTATACAGCCAGACCTCGTTTATCCGGTCCTCGTATATCCGGATCCCTCGCCATCCAGAAGAAAATCGCTGGTTACCGATGTGCAGCATATGTTATGCATACAACATAACCGGACCTCGCGATCCGCATACCGGTGCATGATTTTGTGTACAAACTGGTTAAAATGTGTACAAAAAGCTTCGTCGTATCCGGTTGCATGTGGCTGGCTAGCGCTTGGAGAAGCTAGTGTCAGGGAGTTGTACAAGCAAATGAGGTCCTTGACCTGCTGGGTGTATGCGGACAGCACTCAGTTGCATGCACTTGTCATTTTTCTCGCTTGTTTTACATACTGGGCACGCTAGTTGTACTGCATAGGACCTGTCTACATGTATGTACGATGTCAGTGCTTTTGACATGCCACATGCATATACAGTATGTGTGTTCAGTTATCCGGTTACCTCGCCTATCCGGATGTTTTTGTGGAAAACAGATGTGTGCGGTTAAGCGAGGTCTGACTGTATCGTTACACCTGGTCACTTTATAAACGATACTCACTGTACTACATGTGTATATGTATGGCTTTAATTTAAATTACTTCAGTAATTACTATCGAGTACTCGATAGCTCGCTCGATAGCGTAACGATACACTTGTTTCACCCCTAGAACTTCAACTTATGTGTCCCCCTTACAAGTAGGGAGGACATCTTACCTTTAAAACCACTCCAACATCTTTCTTAGTCGAGATGTTCCTGATGATAGACCCAGCATGTCGTGATACTGATGCCGAAGCAGCTAGGAGGCGCAGTACGAGGGGTGAAGAGTTCGCCATTCTGCCAAATGAATCAATGACACTGCATGTACTGGGCTGGCTCACGTTGACCCTGATGCTGAGTCAGTCAGAACGTTTCTTTGCATTTTGAAGACCGAAAATCTTCGAAATCGACTTCCGACTAGACTTCCGACTCGACTAGTCGACTGCTTCTGCATCTGGCTCGGCCTCCAAGGCGCCCTGCGTGCCACCCGGTACCCTCGTGCACTGGTAGTTCAGTTCCCGCGTTTTTCAAAATAGCTAGCTTGATAATAATGCACGCCGATGCCATTCACAGATTCATGTTCAGCACCATGCATGTACCAGCGAACAGATAAGATCGTGAGTACGAGTGTCGAGTTCGGGCTTTGAAAGATCAAGCTTTTGGCAATGGTAACTATTACTTTGAAATACATTGAGGTGGAGATATTCAGCAGACTACTTGAATTTCCTTGGATTTGAAGCACTATACTAAGCCTCTAGGTCGAAAGTCTTCCGAAAAACTGACACAGCAGTGGTGAAATCTCAACGATGTCGGAGGTATGTCTTTGAAATTAGTAGCGACTGCTTTGTTTGAATTACTCCAAAGAGAACATGGGATACTTTTTGAGTTTCTTAGAAGTTCGGATAAGATCCTGAGACAAGTGTTTAGTGCTTTCTAGTTTCTTTTTCGACCAGCTCGTATGTGCAGACTCCATACTGGGGACCTTCAACCACGTCATTGATCATGGCTATGGCAAAATGACAAGTACCGTTAGTTCCTTACCTCTCCCTCAATCCATCCATCCACACTGTACACTTGTCATGCCAGACATACATGAAACACCGATCCCATGGCAACAACATAATTATACATTCGTTATACACTAGTCAAAACAACAGATGGCTTGATCAGTCACAACTTATTAAAGTTTCATGCCATCTCAGGCACTCATCAGGTGATATGAACATCAAGAAAAATAACCCACTATTTAAAGCCCAGTATGGCGGGACAAGGATAACAGAAAGCGCTAGGGGCGCTATCAACTCATATCCGATTCAGTGTCATAGCCAGTAAGGATCGCGGTACTAAGAAAGGTGATAAAACCGAGCTGGCACAGCTAGTGAGATGCGCGGTGCAAAGATGATGATGGTGACAAGGCGGCAGAGAGCTATCAACTGGCCCTACTGCCTGGAAGCAGGGTGCCGAGAAGATCATGTTATCGGTGTTGATAGCATGAATTTATTTTGATGTCGACATTTAGATATCAACTCCGACCGCTTGTTGAGGCTCGATCTCCTGTCGGCAGTGATTATTCTCGCCTTCTCCTCGAGGCACAGGCTGCATCTTTTCGTTATGTTGCTGTAGGCCTTGGCCTTCTGAACCACTCGCCACTTGATGTCGTGCGTCTTGCCATTATCTTTCAATTCCCACACATGCTTTGAGAGGCCCGTGGATTTGCGTTATATATAATAATTATATGCCGTAATAACCCGATCAGGTTATCAACCAATATAGTTGATCCAAGTATCCATTCAGGGCAAAGGTGCAGTTTAGGGTCCCGAATTATTTCACACTTTCCCAGTGTTCCATGTACTGTTACGCGTGCTTTCTGTGTACATGTACATGAATCCCAGAAGCCTTGCCGCGCGACAGTACACAGAACACTGGGAAAGTGTGAAATAATTTGGGACCCTAGACGGCACCTTTAATACCCCATTCAGCCCCACACGCTCACCTGCACGATAGAATTGGAGAGGAGAGACTTGTTCTTACTCAAGGATTAGATTGATCAATGAAAACGTGTCTAGTATACAAGGGTGCCGGGCAGCAGCAGCAGTTTTATAGGAGACCTGCATGCCGGTAGTTGAAGAGAGTTGAAAAGAGCACAGTGACGGGAGAGCCAACCAATTACAGCGCAGAGTCTAGATTTGACCAATGAATGAACAGAAAGATATGAGTAAGAAATGTACTAATATTTATCGTTATCGTACATGCGACATTCACTGCGATGCATGAATAGCGTACATCGGGATGCCGTGTGACGTAGCGGACGTTACAGCTCCCCGCACGCGCAACACGTTCACCCAACATGTGTTGTCCGTTGTCAGGGGAAACCACCTGCTGCCGATCCCGATACGACACATACACACACACACACTGGCGTATGTGTTTTAGCACTGACTGGGAGTCACTGCGGAAGTTTCCAGTGTAATTCTATAATTATGATGTCATGTGCATGACAGTGTACAATACGTATCACCATACAGTTGGTGGCTGTAACAAATACTAACAATACATACAGTTCTGACATATTGACTATTAGGCGTGTGTAAGAATATGAACAGTACCTATCGCCGATAAAGCTGACGGGTGTAAAATAATTCAGTTAAACTCCTCTACACATCGACTTCAATCATACAGATCTATTGTTGGTGCGGTGAACGAAGTCAGTCGGAAAGCGCATGTGGCAGGGACTTTGGACTATATTAATGATGAACAGGCTGAAAGCTGCAGCTTACCCTTCAGGCTATACACTACATTGCTTATGGTGATGTTAGGTTTATATCCATTTCCCTAAGGCCAAGTAAAAAAAATCCTAGTTTATCGTCCCCGCCCGCCCCATTTTTCGAGGCCGCCCGGAATTTATTTTTATTTTTTAAATCTAGAATTTTGCCAAAAAGCTTGATTTTTTACGTCGGCTAAGGCTTTCTATCATTTATCTGGTGGTCTGTGTGAACCAAACAGTATTGGGGTTTGTGTCTTATGAGTGAAGTGACAATCTGTCGATCCAAAGATTTTGCATGTAATTGTTTATGTACATATAACTGTTATAGCATTGTGTATTCCATACACTACCACTATTCTGTTGCAGATTGTTGCACATGATGTGTCATTGTTTACCAAGAACTATACTAGTCTGTAGCACATCAAAAAATAAAAAATAAAAATAAAATCCGCCCTCCCTCCCCGATTTTTGTGAAAAAAAGGACGATAAACTGGGATTTTATTTTACTTGGCCTAAACTACCCCTTAGTATACCGGGTTCAACTAAAGCAGCATGCAATGGCGCTGTGCCTACATTAGTAGTTCGGACTTGACCCTCCTTTGGAAAACTACTTCACAGATTATGTTTGAATGTGTTGCTTTCTGTTGACTTTCAGCTTTCAGACATCTTAGGCGCGTACGGCGCGTCAGCTGACGTATCCAAGGTATGCTGTGTTCTCATGCTTGAAGTGATGGTAGTTGGCCGGCTGGGTTAGTGATGTCAGTGATCCTATTAACTGTGGTGCAGTGTCACATCAAGCGAAGGGCATGCAAGGTTGCAATGTCGAATTGACTCTCTGTCTGGCAGTGCTAGTTGTGTATTGTGTTTCACTGTCGCCGTGTCTTCTGCCCTCCTCCTTGAAAATGAGATCTCCCTGATAGTCATCCCCTCCCCCTCCTCCTCCTCCTCTCTCTCTCTCTCTCTCTCTCTCTCTCTCTCTCTCTCTCTCTCTCTCTCTCTCTCTCTCTCTCTCTCTCTCTCTCTCTCTCTCTCTCTCTCTCTCTCTCTCTCTCTCTCTCTCTTCCTCTTTACCCTTACACGCAGTCACTGCATAAGAAGCTGGATGACAGTACTGCCGTTGCACCAGTCACAACACCACACCACAAGCAGTCACACTCACTGACTCGCCGCCGCCAGTATGCTGCACCTGGCTCTGGCAGTGCTGCCGTTAGAGGACCCGACACGCCGTCCTCCTTCACCAAGTGAGTGCAGACAGTGTGCCGTCTCTTGACCACAGCACCCTGTGTGTGTCTGTCTGTGCGTGCATGCGTGTGTGCTTGTGGGTGTGTGGGTGCACCTGCATACTCGTACTTTCATCAGTAAAACTGAATTGTTGGGTGTGAATGTGTACTGGGGTATTCACTTGAGTTGTTCAAAAGCGGGACATTCTGCTTTCGACTTACCTTTGTACTCTGTGTGTGTGTGTTTCTGTCCAACATTGTTGTGTTTAGTCAGAAACAGACTCCGGCGTCGCAGAGGTTTGAAAGTCGTCAGAACTCCGGGACCGTGTCAGCCACGCTGAATGACAGTAATTTGCCCGTGCCGAGCTCCTGGCGTGGTACCTGCAGTCAAGTCTGCCTTTCATCAGTGGAGCGCACCAGTGTCGTTGCCAAGCCGTACGCCTACATGTTCCAGAAGGTCTCCTCGAAAGTAGCCGGTAAGCGGTTGCTAGAAGCCGTTGTGTGCCTGTTTGCAGACTGCTTGTGCTGTGGGTGGTCGGATTGATGTGTGTAGGGCTGTGTGTGGTCGGGTGGATGTGTGTAAGGCTGGGTGTGGTCGGGTGGATGTGTGTAAGGCTGTGTGTGGTCGGGTGGATGTGTGTAAGGCTGTGTGTGGTCGGGTGGATGTGTGTAAGGCTGTGTGTGGTCGGGTGGATGTGTGTAAGGCTGTGTGTGGTCGGGTTGATGTGTGTAAGGCTGTGTGTGGTCGGGTGGATGTGTGTAAGGCTGCGTGTGGTCGGATTGATGTGTGTGTAGGGCTGTGTGTGGTCGGGTGGATGTGTGTAGGGCTGTGGATGTAGATGTGTTTTGATGCATGCAGAGATGGCGGGTATCTCATACCAATGACAGATTTCATGGTTTATGTCACTTTATGATCAGTATTTAGCACTGACCGTTTCCTTTTCGTTGACTTTTGGCATTGACAGAGGCAATAGTGTCGCGATTGGTAGTCATGCATGTAGTACTCTGCAGCGCGTTGGATATATTATCCGGTGTGCTACAATTGCTCGCAGCTGGATAAGTGCCATATCTGACCGTGTTGCATTTTCTGGGTTATAAGCCCCTCTCATTTTGTGGATTATTAGCTGGAAATCCTCTCCACTGTTCACCATTGTAGAGTGGTTTCACCAAAATTCACTAAACGCCAGCGAAA